TGCCTTTTGGTGCCTGTAAAACTTATAGTTTATGAAATATTAATGTTTAATGAATTATAATGGCAGTCAATGGAGCCTTGTATTGGTCCATTACTGCCCCATGCTGTACTCAACTTGGTACTGCACCATAGTTTAATATTTCAACTCAGTAGTTCAGTGTTTACAGTACTAATATGATTGTATTTTGATGTTTTATTATAATATTGTCTTAATACTGCTCTGTTGTTGTAATATTATGCATTTTTGTGTCAATAATTATATTGGCAATGTGGCCTCTTTCTGCACACATACAAACCAACCCCTGCCACTATCTTCTGCCACAGGTCTAATGGTCTATGTCATGGACTTTCATGTGGGAGATCAGGGTTCAAAACCCAGCTAATGCAACTTTAACAAAAAATGTCTTCAAATTCCATATTGTCACACAAATACCTTAATTACAAACACCTGCTGACGTGACTGGCACAAGCTGGTATAGTAAACACATTTGAACTTGGTCAAAGTTCATTCTGCAAGTCCATTACTGCAGGCAAAGCCATGCTACATGGCAATGCACACTTGTTTTTACATCGTAAAAACCCATGTCTACTTGTTGTTGTTATTATTATTATTGTTATTAACAAAGGAAATTATGGTGTTAAAAAGGTTAACTAACACCACAAAGTATCAATACACTATATATTCCAGAGTATAACTTTAACACTCAGAGTTAAAATCTAACTTTGTAGTGTTGCATTAACACTGCTCAGTACTTAGTAGAAAAGTATAATGGAGTCACTCTTCACACACCAGGAAGTACCTCTCACTCATGGTGTTGATTTTTGGCCAATAACATAAATTTAAACTTGAACCACTTGATCAAACTGAACAAGAAAACTAACCAGAACAACAAATTTTTACTCTCGTGAACATCTTTAATAGTCATAAACATGAAAACAAATCATTTCTACAAGATTACCCAGCATTCCTTGCTGAGAAAATACTGGTCTGTCTGACAGGAGGTGGAAGAGGGCGGGGCTTTTCAGAACTTCTTTCAACACTGCATGGTGTCGTATTAACAGTGGGCGGAGCTTATTTAACACTGTCCAGTGTTGAGACAACACTGAGGAAATCAACACTGTGAATTAACACCCACACTGGAGGTCAGTTTACTCAGAAAGTGTTCAAATAACACTAGGGGGTGTTAAATTAACACCCAAAAGTTTAACACTGAAATTTTAACGCTCCTGTTTTTGCTGTGTTAGATCTGATTAACTTCTAAGAGCGTCATTAATATTTGTTAGGGGTTTATGTGGTATTTTACTATCAGGCAAACAAAACAGACACAAAAATACAGGCATGATCACCCGTCTTTCATGGCGTCAAATGATAATTATTTGAATGGGAATGACATTTAGCGTCAACGTGGTGTGTGTTTGGTGTGTTAATGCATGCACTTAAACAGTAAAAGGATGGTTTTGTGTTTTTATTGTCCTTGCATTGTAAAAAAGGTAACACAACAAAATTCAAAGGAGCTATCTAAAAGACACCTCCACCTCTTTCACATCCACTCCCCTCACCCAAACCTTTTTGTGTACTTTGAAGTACAAATGAAACGCACACTGTCCTGGTTGAACACACACGCATCCAAACAGACAAAAACACTACGAACATGTGACCCGCCCTCAGGATGTAAGGAAATGAGGCCCTCTTCCGTCCCTGACCCTGAGCAGATTGTGACTGAAGTCTGGCCCTCTCGCTGCTGGCACTTGGCCAGTTTCCCTCTCCCATCTGGGCACTCTGGGAGTTTGCACTGCAATAATAAGCCTCCCACAAAGTAACTGTTCATCACATGGTGACGAAACAAAGTGTTGAAGTGAGATTCGGGTTTGACTTTGTGACTCTACGTTGTTTTKGCGTCCGGGCCGCTCTGAAGAGATCTAAAAGCATGCAATGCTTCGTTTGATTTATGTCCTCAAAAAAAAAAAAAAAAAAAACCAAGGCTCCACGTTCAAGGATCTGCCAGAGGAATGCTGTCTGATTATATAGGAGGATACCAGGCAGCGAAACGCTTCAGTTTCCTTTGCTTTCCGCAGTACTCCAGCTCGCTCGTCCTCGGAAGAGCTCCTCCGGTGCTCGTCGGCTCTGTCGCCGAACGCCTTCGACGCAGCCGGGGGGCGCTCGGCCGCCGCGAAGCCGAAGGATACGGAAGGCGCAGGTGCAGATGGAGAAGATCAAAAGGCCCGTCGAGTGCTGACCTCGCCCCGATCCACTCAGAGTCCATCAGACTTCCTTCCTGTGCCCTCTGCCATGGCAGCGAGTGATGCAGGCCAACACAGAGAGGCTGTGAATGAAGATGACCCAGAGGAGGAGGAGGATCCCTGTTCGGACTGCAGCCTTCCTGCAACGTGAGCTCAGTCCTGCAACTCCGTTAGATTTCATCAGAGTCTGATGCTTTGAGCTTGAACTCTTTGATTTGCCTTTAGAATCTGATCTATTTTAAAGTGATTACTCTCTATCTGCATGTGAAATAAACCTGCATCGCTTTCAAACAGATGTGTAAACACCTGAATATTTGCATGACTTTATATTCATGAACACAGATTGTAAGTTCTGTATTAAAGTTACACATATCGTACACGGTTTGCATGCAAAACCTGAAAAGAACATGTTCCCATTCTYTTGCTTTTTTTCTCAAACATACACCCAGAACGCTGCCTTTTGGTTTCTTCAAATAACTCCAGCGCTAAACTGAATTTGACCCATTTTTTTAACCCAGATCTACTTTATAAATCTTGCAGAATGGATAGATTTTTTTTAAAAGCCAACTACTAAAGTAATCCTGCAGTGATGTTGGCTTTTATGAAGTCAGATTTTCTTGCAGATTATTTTTAATGCATACCATGTTGTCACAGAAAGCAATCTATCTGGTTTTCCTTTTTTTTTTTGAGAGTGTCCTCTTCATCTGTCCACATTTCTTCCCATGTGGGACACAACCACAGATTCTCCCACCCAAACAGAGGCAACTCTTTTAAAAAGAAACGGTGAAAACCTCCATGGTTGAAGACAAACAGAAAGGGAACTACATCTTTGATGTTCCGATGCTAATACAACATGCATGTGCTTAAATAACGGCCATTTATCAGTTTTTTGTTAAGATTGCTGCCAAATGCGCCTCTTTGTATGCTGGTTGTGTTTTTGGTTTGCAGTAAAGCTCTGCTCAGGCTGTGGTTTAGAGAAGACTGCCCCCTTGTGTCTTGTTTGGGGGGTCTGTCACTGATCCCAGAGCCTGATGAGTACAGCCGTGCAGACCACGTTATATTTTACTGACAATTTAACACTCTGTGTTTTAGATATTTGCATGGGTTAATGTGTGTTCATGTATTTGTGTGTTACTGTATGTTGTCTTCGTGTGTTTTGTGTCTGCAGCCACACAGATTGTGTGTCAGATGATCCGCAGTAAGTTTTCTTTTCAGAGCAAAAGCTCAGTTTCATGTCAGTGAGCCGTTTAAAGTGGACACATCGWGCTAAATCCACCTTTTTAGTCGTTAAACACATTTTTTTGTGAACATGGATTTTCTAGGAGAGCAGAAAAGTTTTATTTAGTCTCTACCCCTTTTATATAGACCCCAACTGAATGATTTAAATGAGAAAAAGAAGGATTTCAAAAAAATGTATCCTTTTAATCGGTCTGTTGGTAGACTGATGAGAACGATCAATCAAATCTGTTTCTTTTCATGCACATACAGCTTTTTCACTATTTTTACACATTAACTGCAGATAGCATTGGGCTATAGGGCGCCAAGTGTAAAATGAAATGATTAAAAAAAATCACTAAGAAATTTTTCATTATTTAGCTCACTGCTCTTACATTTAGCTAATTGTCTCCCTTCCAATAAACATCTACAATGGCTGCTGCTAGCCACCGCTAGCTGCTGCTAATGCTGCTGGAGATTATATTTAATATTTAAATTCAAACTGTGTTCATAAAAACCAATATGGGTGGTACCTGTGGTCCAGCAGTTTGAAGTACAGCTCAGACACAGGCCATAACTTAAAGTTTGATGTCTTGTAGGGAAGATTTAGCTGCATTAGAGGCTAGCCGTTGCTATTGTCTCAGGATGATGACATCATAACATGAGCAGAGAACCAACAGCGACGGCTGCGTTCCATTCCAAAATACYTCARTTTACCTTCAACATTTAAGGTTTAACTTTTACATTTAGATTTAAACATTTGATATCTTAACATTTAAATTTAACATGTAGCAAAAATTAGCGAAATGGAAGAACAGTGAGCTAAATAACATTATGTAAGTGGAAAATTAACACTCAAAGTGAGTTAAATAATGAAAAATACGTTAGTGAACTTTTTTAACATTTCATTTTAWATGTGGCGACCAAGTTGGGAAACTAATTAAAAAGGTTTTATGTCATTAAGATGTCATGTTTCTCCAAAAAATATAAAAGCTTATAAAACCACGGAACAAAATACAAATATTTTTAGTAATTGTGGTTATTTATCTAATGTTGGTTTGCTCTTTAGTTGTATTTTTCCATTAAGTTTTAGTTGGGAAAAATAGCGCTGCCGTTTAAGAAGTGCATACAGAATATGAACTTTAAAAACTAATTTTGTTTAGCTTCATCTATATTCATCAAATATTGTAAATATAAACTGTTTCGGTTGCAACCAGTGTTTAAAACCAATGAATTGTTCTCCATTCCACTCCATCTGTGCCTCTGCCAGCTGCATATGGTCATCTTTTTTTTATTTTGGCTGTTGAGGGTTGATAAAAAAAAGTCGAAGGGCTCTTTTAAAAGMTTTCTAGCTTTGTAAGGCGGATTTAAGACAGGTTTGCTATTTTGTCTTTAACCTTTAACAAGTTTGTTAAAGGCTGCAACAAACTTGAACAYAATCCTATTTTTACAGCCATACCCTAGTATTTTGTACCTGCGCAGTATATTGTATTGTCACATGTTGTATTTTCTTTTGAAATTTAATATTTAAATGCGAYGAGAAATAGAGGATTTGCAAAAATAAATTAGTTTTTCAATTTTAAMATTGTATTAAATCATATGCAATGAACTATACGTGGCACAGAAATTGAGGAACTTTGTGTTTGGTAGATACGGTAATTTATCTGTAACAAAGCTTCTTGGCAATATAGTGGGCACCTGATTGGCAGCACCTGTGGGGACCAGAAGCTCAGAAAAAGCGACAGCAAAATAAGCTCTTTGGCAGAGAAGATATGGCAGATTTTTCATGTGTTCAACCCACAAACTCAGCTCTACTGCTCATCCCACAAATACATGTTCCTTACAAATGTGGCAYCGTTTAAAAGAGAAGAGGCTTTCCAACGGTATAAGATTTATTGCCAAGGTTTGTTACAACAAAGAAATAATCTACCAAACACAAATGTCCCAACATTTTGTGCTGAGTTTAGTTATATTGGGTCACTCTGTGTTTTTAATAAATCCTGTTCTCTGCCTGTCTCGTGTCATAAATTCAGGAGTTTGAGCATGATCGACATGCATGATGAAGAAGAGGCCATCCTGCGGCCACACAGTCATGTGCGCCATGAGCTCATGCACAACCAGTACAACAGAATGAAAGAGGAGGACAATCACTGGCAGGACGTAAGGGTTTGGAAGTTTCTTAACCGTGTTGCTGTTTTACTTGCAGGTTGGCACACCTGTTTCTTCTGCCTGCAGCTTGTTGCACAAGTTTGATCCTCCTTTAACAGTGTCAGGACCACAGCAGTTCTGCAGATTCCTCAGCAGCCGAGCTAACTTTACCTGAAACCTCTTTTTTCCTTTCTTTTCTGCTGTTAGGACCTGGCCCGATGGAAAAGCCGGAGGAGGAGCATCTCTCAGGATCTGRTTAAAAAAGAGGAGGAGAGGAAGCTGATGGAGCGTCTAATATCAGGAGACAGCTGTACCTCTCAGAGGAGGAGAAGCATCAAGACGTACAGAGAGATTGTGGAGGACAAGTAGGTGACRACACTGATGAGATAATGATGAGTCATCAAGTTGTGGTCAAAGAAGCAGAATTCTTTATAAACCCCATACGCGAAGCAGGGGGTCATGTTTTAGTATTTTATTTATTTATTTATTTATTTATTTATTTTTCCAGTGATTTTTGGTCAACCGTAGCAATGAAACAGCTTTACCGATCAACATGAAATTTGTTAGGAATTTAGATGTGTCTGACCTACACTGCACCAGTCAACGGTTTTACAATAGATCCTGTATTTGAGGAGGGGGCTTCATCTGAAAAGGGGGTGTCTGCACATACAAAATTGCTTATAACTAAAAAAAACTATTCAACATAGGAGATTCAGAATTTTGTTGTTGTTTAGCTCTGATAAAGGCCTTTCCATCGGGCCCACCAATGAGCCTCCCCACCCACGCCCATTCAAAAAGTGGGTGTCTGAACATTTTAAAAGAAAAGGTTTTTTTTAGTAAGATGTTTTGAAATTTACATAAAATGCACTTTTTTGGCTTCATCTTTGGAAAGAGAAACAAAATGTTGGGATATTTTATGTGCACATTACCATATTTATTCAAGTATAATACATAAAATTTAATCCATAAAATCATCCATAAAGTTTGTGGGTAGTACTATAC